ATCTATAAGTTCATCTGTTTCTTTTCTGTTTTTAACTGAAAAAGATTTTTTCCAGTTCAGTTTATCCAAATGTGCAAAATCTTCAATTATTAGGTGTGAATAAAAAATACTTATTTATCTCAGTTTATCTTTTATTAGATTAACACATTGTCTTTGCTTCTATGTGTGCTGATCAGGATTCAAAACCAAACAGGTTTTAAGTAGCAAAAATGTTGAAGAGAACTGAGTGCAATGGAAATCTCTGGAGCCAAAACACAAAAATGTTAAATCACTCTGGCCCAAACAGATGAATTCTCTCTGAACTGTTGATGAAACCTGAGAGAGCGGCTCATTACTGTTACTGAGTCCACCGTCAGGAGCAATAACGATGAGTGAGGCTAAAGAATTAACGCTGAAGATAACAGCAGCTCTTTCCAATGAAAAGACTCCTCCATCCAACTCGTCTCCTGGAAAGACAGCCAGGATTGTTACCGTTTAGCTGGCAGATAAACGATGACGCACCTTCTCAACATCTGTCAGAAGTGTTAAATAAATACACCAGAGTTCTTTTATAAAGTGGATTAAACACACTGACGAGGAACTAACCTAATGGTGTTTTCTTGTGCATTTTATAGTTTGACTTTGTTTCTTAGTCATTTTTGGTGTTTAGGACTTTTTTTAAACAAATGCATTAGTTATTTTTGTATTTTTCATTGGAAATCCTTTAAGATTTGTTTTACATTAAGTCTATTTACCTGTAGGGTTGTCACGGTGTGAAAATTTAACCTCACGGTTATTGTGACCAAAATTATCACGGTTTTCGGTATTATCGCGGTATTTTTCTAAACGTGTTACATTTTCAGACTACTAAATAAACCCTGTATATCAGGAAAATGTTGTCCTCAGTTTGTGTTTAAATTTTGCCTAAAATGTGTTATTTTGTAATTATGTTGTTTATTTGTTTGCATATTTCCCCTTTAGTCTTTAAAACGGCAATATTTGCCCATAACTTCTTATTCTTTGTCTGTTTCATGTCATCATTTTAAAAATATTAGATCAGATGATACTCAGTACTCAAGTAGCCTTCTAATCAGATACTTTTTTTTTTACCCTTACTTGAGTAATAAACCCTATATCAGGAAAATATTGTCCTCGGTTTGTGTCCTTCCAGTGAGCTTTGCAGATTTGGGAAAATGTCATCAGGCAGTAATCATTGTTAAATTCATAATTATTCTCGGAGAGAGACCAACTCTTATCTGCCCCTGGGAGCCCCGTAATGCATAGCATCATTTCAACATGGGGGTGTCCGCGACACGGTTTATATGCAGGTAGCGGTGCTGCGGCTGCTTTATATAGCGACTCGTTGCATTCTCCCTCAACCCAAATCCTCAGATCACGCATTTTAGCTAAAACGCTAACGTTAGCTTGCCTTGCGTTGACTTTAGAGTTGTGGGTGATGGTCACGCAGATGTGTCATGAGATTTGAAGCATTGCTGCCTTTCACAGACACGTTTTCTGCACGTGCTGCAAACAGGATAGCCGTCTTCTATAAACTGTCCCTCGGCATTCTTCAAATATCAAAAAAATGCCCGTACTTCCGACTTTGTCTTCTTTGAGGGATAAAAAATGTCCTGAGTGCTACCGTCTCCTCCTTTGGCCATTATTTCAGCTTTAGCTTCAATAAAGTTTTGGTCATAAACATGGACGTCACTAGGATTGAGATATAGGGGGGGCTTAGCCCCAGGAGCTTGACCTCGAACGTTTTTTGTCACACCCTGCAAAAACTTTGTCAATTAATTCATTATCTGAAGAACATTTAACAAAACCTATTATTTTATCACTTTCATTTCCTTTCCTACTTTTGTGCATTTTCTCTCTTCTTTTTATAAAAAATAACACTTAATCAGTTCATTAGTGGGGTCTATGTTGAAGAAAGATTTTATGTAAGTCCATTAAAAATTAGATATGTTATATTTCCAAATAAAGCTATTCATTTCAGTCTACTGCACTTAACAGGGGGAAATGTTGTAGTCATTTATTTGTTCAATTACAACTTGTTTAATTATAACTGTTACTGAAATGTGACAATAAAGAACAAATGAATAATTGTAAAACTTTTATTCTGCCAAATGAGTGTGCAGTTGACAGTTTTAATATATGAATAACACTGCTATGATATGGAATAAAGGAGTATGTAATTAACAATTACAAGACAAAATAACAGTATATATAAAAATATCCAGCAAGTAGTAGAACTTATAATACAGAAAGTCAACTATACAGATACAACTTGACATAAGGTTGCAGGTCACATGATAATTATAGTTATTTTTTTCTCAGTGTCTCTTACCTGTTCACTCCTAAATAGAAAACTGTTCAATTTTGCTTGGGAACTTTGTGCTCATGTAAATGCTCATAACGGTGCGCTCGCCCCTGTTTTCTCTGTAGATCACTGACCTTGACCATGCAGATCTCCTCAGCATCAACCACCTGGTCTCTCTCCTGTTCCTCACTCACTCTCTTAAAAAATCTTCGTATATCCATCTAGCCAACACATTGAAAAACATTTTCAATTTCTAATGCCAAAAAAAATGCTACTATGCCATTTAGTTTTCACTCACAATAACTGAAACAGCCATTGGTGGATAAATGGGACAGAATATGGACAACTGTTAGCCTAATATAGCCTATGTTTGGTTGCTCATGATGATGGCATTTTCCATAACATCACATCGAGCTGCCAAAATTTATGTTAAAGTTAGACGGGTACAACATCTCCTTTCTTTACCATAGGTAAACATAGGAAATATTAAGCAATTGACAACCCTCATGGAAAGAATTCATATAAACATATAGGTTTTAATATATGTTTTCATATAGCTTTTAAATATATGAGACATATAAAACTGGCTGTTTATTATAGATACATATATGTACCTATAATATAATATATATATATTATAGAAAAAATATATAATATAGAAAAACGGTCAATAATATACATTCGGCCATATTCTGATTCAGGTTTTTAGTGTGGAGTGATTTTTGTGCCACCAACTGGAGCGTGCAGTGATCAATCTGCAAGAGTAACACCTGCTCTGCAGTCATGTGCAGCCCTCTCTCTGCATGCTCAACTCCGTCTCTGCCTGCACAAATCTCCCTGCTGTTGCTCAATTTGCAATTTACAAAGCAATGTAGCCTCTCTGTCAGCCAATCAGAGAGCTCTCCATTATGCAATCAAAGCATGTCCAGGAAATACTGGCAGGAAAATTGCACTTTTTTCAGATAAAGAGGACTTTATATAATTATATTTAATTAGGTTGATTAACCCTCCTCTTTTCCTGGTACATTTCCACTGTTCACTTCCTTTTACACATCAAGGGATCATTTATGTCTAACCAAACAGAGAAGAAACACTTTATATGTTGAAATTAAAAGTCCTCTTTAACTGAAAAGAGTGCAATTTAACAGTTTTAGGAATAGGCAATGTGTCTTTTCTGGAAGTCAAATATGGTCACCCTAATCATGACACATGAATTACAACAAATTATCTTGCAGGCAGTGGATGGTGACTGGTAGCTAACCAGCAGCAGAAAGCAGTTCAATAAGCTGTTAAATGGGTGTTTTTCTGTAAAGCAGTATTTCCTGGACATGCTTTGATTGGATAAAACAGAGCTGTCTGTGATTGACTGTTGGAGAGGCTACTTGTTGAGGAGAGCAGGGAGAGATTTGCATGTGCAGAATTGATCCCATAGAGAGGGCTGCAGCTTCTGCACACAAGCGCAGAGCAGGTTCTGTTTGTGCAGACTCATTACTGTACGCTCAAGTTGGTGGCACGAAGTCACTCAATGAACTGGCTGACCCATTAAGCATGTCACTTCAGGGGAGTTTTCCGACCATTTTACTTGACATCAAAGCTTTTCATTATGGTTTGCGGCATGTAAACATGCTAGCGGAGTTAGCATTAGCATGTCGGTGCGGTAGCATTTTCCTCTCTCGTCTGAACTATAACCTTGAAATGTTAACGGTGTGCTGCTGTTGCTTTCTTACCCTAATGTGATGCTGAGTGACTTACATGAGCGCTGAGCAGGGTTTGCTCATCGATATATAGGTTTTTCTGTATCGACCCGCCCCCTGATTTGTCAACAAAGCTGCGGGCTTAAGGAAGTGGAGGAAGTTCTTTCTTGATACTTCCTGTGTGCGACGGTGTAGTTCTATATTCATTAATTATTATTTCTGTTTCAGACTAAAAAACTCGTACCATACACGTGTCGTGATTGTGTTGAGCATGTAGATGTGAACAAATAAAAAAAAAGTTAACTGAAAAAATAAAATAAACCAAAATGATAGGGGGGCTTGTGATTATTTTAGGTGGGCTGAAGCCCCCCTAAAACGGACCTAACGACGTCAGCGGTCATAAACAACAAAGTGCGCATGTGCCGCCGGCAACTTCAGCAGATGATACGGTGGCTGGTAAGGGTCACCGCGCCTACACGGCAGCCACGGTAATCCACAGAGATAATATTTTTTTTAAAAAACAAGACGGTTATTATTATTGTCAACTCTTTTACCGGAGTTTACCGCTACACCGGTTACCGTGACAACCCTATTCACCTGTAGTGTTTCATGCTTTCATATCAATGCCTGGCCATCCAGAGGGGTTCGGATGAAGCCAACCGTCCTTCTTTGGTTTCTTTTTTGGTCCATTTTCCACATCTGTTTGGTTTCTTTATGCAGATGTGAACACAATAATCTCACTGGGGTGTGGAGTACCAAGACCTTTTAATTATAACCTCTAGATGTTGTTCATTTTCCTTTATACCATTTTTTTACACATTTCTTAGACCATTAGGGGTATTCAACAGGAAACAGATACAACTCAAAATCAGTTATGAAAATACAGCTGCTTGTGAGTGAACAAAAACCGGTCAGATCATAGTCAGAAGGGAAATATTTTGGGTTTTTTTTGTATCTAATTGCACAACAGTAACCCTTGGCTGTATTTGTTTGATCTACCTCAGATATCGACGAATGCTCCTTTGCGAGGGCCTGCGACCACACATGTGTCAACTATCCTGGCAGCTTTGAGTGTTTGTGCCAAAAAGGCTACATCCTCTATGGACTCACTCACTGTGGGGGTGAGTGTCTGCTCTAATGTCTCCTGCTGCTATGACATGAGGGAACTATGTAAAACAGCGGCTGGCTTGGACTCAGCTGGAGTGTGAGCTGAAGCAAAAGGGCTGCTGCGTCTGCTGCCACTCTAGAACCGTGCCTATGCAACCTGCTGCTATTTATAAATTCTTGAAACAAAAAACAGGGAAAACATTCTGATGGTGACAAAAATCCCACTTCCTTTTAATCATGAAAATATGACACATGAACACAGCTCAGTAAACATAAAGACCATCATTCTCCAAAGCATTGATGGGATGTAGTCTGTGAAAGTGTTTTCAACAGGATTTCTTTATTATTTATACTCCTGCATGTTCCTCTGAAGTTCTATTTTTGTAATTGTTGATGTGTCATTAATAAAAATTTAGTACAGAAGGAAAATTAGAAGTAATACCAAAGAAACAGAAGGTGCATTAGCTTTGATAAAATAATCTACATGAATAAGCATTTGTATTTCTGTAACGTTACCAACTCACAGACTCCCAACTGAGCTGTTTTAATCATGACTGAAAATGATTGTTATTTAAGTCAGGAGTCAGTAACTCAGTGGAATCTGTGGGGTTACCTCAGATAGAAAAGTTTAACTAATTAGAAAAATCTACTGAACTCAATAAGCTATTTTCATTTGGAATGTGTGCTTTGTAAAGAGCCCTGGCATGATTTGTGTTAAGAGTTGTTGCTTTAATTGAACTAAAAGTATTAATATGTGAATAATTTAAAACTGAATGTTGTTGGCAGGGTCATAGTTATATAGAAATTATAGAAATGTTTAACTGAGTTCATAAGGGAGCTTTAAAGGTGCTGAACACTTATTTAATCAATACATTTCCAATGGTCTCTAGTAGGATGAATGCCTTGTAAGTTGTATTCTTGGGAAGAAAAACACTGGCGCACCATTTTCAGGAAGTAGAAGGCCCAATCCCAATACACGTATTTCCACCCTTGCACCCTTCATTTGTGCATTCCAGTCCAGGAGTGCGAGTGCGTAGGGTGTCCCGATCGTCAAGTGGGGATGTTGACCACGCCCCTTTTGCACCCTTGATCTGCACTATTACCCATAATCCATTGCTGCATGGGAATTTTGAGAAGGCGGAACAATGGCTCCAGTGCCTTTTTTGAAAATATGTATTTTCAAGTGAAAGAAGTACATTTTACGACGATTAATTATATTTATTCATGCTCTGAATGTTTTAGACTAAGATTTAATGCAGCTAGCAATTCATGTAAATTTAGTTAATTTTTTGTTTGAAAGTTGTTAATAAAGTTTTTTGAAAGTAGCACAAACAGCGACCGGCATCCTGGCATGCGTCGTGGTCGATGACGCAATGGCCACTGTCCCGATTGGGCAATTATTTGCACACTTGTGTACCACACACTCTAAGCCTTACTGTGCACTTCCTCCATGTGTACTTCACAGACCGTAGGGTGTAGTGCGAGTGTTGTAATTGGGCCAAAGTGAGCCACATCACAGACATCTTATATAGGTAGATGCAATATGGACTGGTAGTAAGCGGCCATCTTGGATGGGTCCCCAATCGTGCCCAGTGCATTTATTTCTACTGAAGAAGGTGTTTGCCAAACTAAAAAACTAATTTTTAATGATTTTTAACAAGATCAGACATATGATATAGCATGAGAATTTAAATATGAATATAACTGAGTAAAATAAATATAAAATCCCAACAGGTAGGCAAGAAAAGTCAATAGCAATCCCACGTTGTCAGTTTTCAGTAGTAAACCGTTGTTGCAACTGTAGGCTGCACAAAAACCGCCAGAGCTGCTCACCCTGCTTTGACTCCAGTTGGGTTTGAAGAGAGAGGAACCCACTCAATATGGCGATGACGCTGTTACACTCTGCAACGTCCAATGATGCGTCTAGGTATTCATGTCTACGAGCCACATCACAGTTGAGCTTCAGAAGGCTGGATAACAGCAATGCAACTCTACCACCGATTTGCAACACTGATGTTTTATCTCCACAAATAACACAACCCTAGAGGAGTTCTGCTGTGTGGTGGGGTTGCTAATGCTAGCAGTTAGCTTCTACTAGTCAAGTACCGGTAGTTGTCTGCTGTTTCCTGTACACTAAACCAACAACTGCCTTTCCTGTCGTGAGTCAAGATGGGTGAGTCCATGAATGTTAAGAGACAGTGTGACACAGATCTGTCAGGATTTTCTAATCCTAGAGCAGGGGTGCCCAATCCTGCTCCTCGAGGGCCAGTATCCAGCATGTTTTAGTTTTAATTTTGCTTCAACACACCTGATTTCAATCAACAGGTGATTAACCGGCTTCTGCAGAGCCTGATGAGATGCTGCGCAGGTGATTCAACCAGTTAATCAAGTGTGTTGGAGCAGAAAACCACAAAACCTGCTGGATACCGGCCCTCCAGGACCAGGATTGGGCACCCCTGTCCTAGAGTTTCACCGTCTATTTTCTATCAGGAGCTGATGCAGGAGAAAGGTGTAGGAGACTTTTTTCATGTTCAGCCTGCATGAAAAACTCAAAGTGACTGATTATAATCAGAAATTCTCATTAAAAATGGTTTTCAGTGTTCCACACCTTAAACCTGCACCAATTTAAAGAGAAAACTCTAGAAGCCTCAGTGAAATCACCACATGGTCCCTGTGTTTTTGCATCAGATATTGATGAGTGCAGCATCAACAATGGAAGCTGTGAGTTTGGCTGCATAAACACACAGGGTAGCTATGAGTGTGTGTGTCCACCCGGACAACAGCTTCACTGGAATAAGAAGGACTGCATTGGTAAGCACCAGCTGTAATTTTTTCTTTTGTTTTTGTGGCATGATGAACTGAGCAGACCGTAATGCTGGTGTGTGTACTTGTGTTTGGGTGATATATGGTGATGTAATCTGTGTGTTTCTCAGAGGCTGTGAAATGTCTCCCCAATGGAAAACCAGCACCACGAGCCCAGCTGACATGCACCAGGAATGCAGGAGCAGAGGTCTGCTCACTGTCATGCCCGTCCAATGCTCACTTTCTCGCAGGTAAACTTGAAGCCTGAACAGCGAGGCCACGCTTTTTTGGGCAGCAGACAATCAGTCTGTTTATTCATTACTTTTGTTTTATTACTAGTTAGTAATCTCTGGTTGCAAGTCAAGCAGAGGATGTTTTACAGTAACATTAGATGGAGGGCTGGCTACTCTGTTAGAGAGGAACAGATGTAAGAATATATCACATTTTTGTGTGTAATAACAACAATATAATATGATTTCAGATTCAGATTTCAGATTTATTGGCCAAGTAAAATTACATTGAATTGAATTGAATTACATTGAATTCAGTTAGTTATGTAAATACAACAGCATCTTAATAAGTTTCAAATTATTACTATTTTTTAAGAATTATACATTGGTATCTCAGTTATCTATCTCAATAATAACATGAAAGTATACGCCCCCAGCATCTCACTTGAACTTTAGATAAAAGTATTCACAGGCTTTGGTTCTTGTACAAGGCTAGATTATCTAAAACATCTGTACTTATGATTTCTTAGGATGACCTCAGCAGGGGCCCCACTTAGGGGTCAGAGCTTACTGTCAGGGTGGCACCGGCCCACCCTGGTCCCCTTCTAGAACTGCCCCTGCTTTCAAATAATTCAAACAGTTTGAAGAAGTCAGAATCCTTGAAGAAGCAGAACAGGTTGTTGTCAGCTGCGTCAAAGTGGTAGTGAAGACATTTATGAACGATATGTCCAAGGCAGTGTTTATAAAGTCAAAACAGAAGTTAGCTCAAAACCGAGCCTGGGGGGACACCACATAGCAGATGTGGTGTCTGACATGATCTGATTTGTCCAGAAAGGGAAAACAGCTGTTTGAAAGGTGAGATTTGGATGAGTTTAAATGATTTCTACAGATCTAGATCAGTCTGGCCCTGTTTCAGACACTAGACCAGCTGATACCTGAACCACGCTCTCATCGGTTGTGGTTGAAACCTGGATTTGAGGTAAACACTAAATGATTCTTCATTTGCTGGAAATGTTCAGAGAATGTCAAAATCCAGTGCATACGTGCATACATTGCAGAGTTTTCATAAACCTGATGTTTTGAATCACTTATTTGTCAACCCTTCCTTTTTCGTGTCTATGCTATTCATTCGTGATGGTACTGTAAATTTGTTATTGACATTTCTGAGATATCTAGTACACAAAACTGTTTAACTACTTTAGAAATCCCTGATTACCATTTTTATAGACTTGACCTAAACAGAAGTAAAATTATTCTTTCACCATAACTTCTGCTTTCTTAATTAACAGAATTTGACTGTTTTGGTTTAAACTTTTTTCCAGTGTAAGGGGACTGTGTTTAAGTGGAGTAGAATTTGAATCAAACTATAATGGCTCACCTGAGCCTTTTCAGGTTTTCTGTGGAGTGCGGTGCCCTGACCTTAAAATGAGAGGTGATGGTTTTTCTCATACCTGCTGCCCTCTGGTGGTCCCAGGTAGTAGCTGCAGCTGTTCTTCCACTGATGCCTGAAGCTGCTCACGCTATTCATTGCTGTATTTATGAACTCCTGAGCGAGCTGTAGGTGCAGAGTGATGTGTTTTTCACCCTGCTAGGTTTTCTTGGCTTCACCCAGTCCAGCACTTTGGCTAACACCCCTGCCTCTCCTGCTGCAATAGTACTTAACACGCATCTGTAAATTGATTACATTCTTTGATCGTGCCGTTTTTCCCGTAATACAGCCCTTGCTCAGTTTGACTTGGCAGACATTGTGTAAGAAAGATTGACAGCTCTGAGGCATGAAGTGAAAGATTTGTTTTTCTGTTCTTTTGGAGTCATCTTAGTTTTAGAGAGGTGGAAGCTGTGTAAAATTCCTGTGGTTCAGTGTAAGCTGCACTCTTATTTAATCATTTTGCTTTTACGATTTCCTAAGGCTTCACCCCTCATTTCTTATGTGAAATGCATCTTTGTGTGCACGTGTGTCAGGGGACAAAAACAACATTAATACATCTTTCATTCTGGCTTTAATTTTATGGTCGGTGTTGGGGTCACATGGAAGCGTACACGTCTGCTCTCGGCATGATTTTGAAAATAACAGTATGAAACGACCATTAAACATTTTAAAAACTTTTTCCGACTCCCACAGCTGCGTTCTCAGTAAGACTACCAAACATCCTGCAGTCTCACTTGGTTGCACGTACTCTCATCAAAGTCTAACATGTTTGTTGCAGATCCGGAGAACTACACGCTGAGCTGTGGAGTTTCCGTCCAGCCTGGTAATACTCCTCCGAAGACTAATGCCACTTCTGCTTTACCATCTTGTGCTGGTACAGTAAATCCAGCAGCACAACACACGCAGTACTGCTGACCTCTAAATGTGTTTTATTTAAATCTCAGAATGTTCTACAAGGTGTCCCCATCTCTTTATTCATCCTTAAAGACACAATGTGTAGTTTTTACCATTAATCTCTGGAAATATCCATCCAAATGTTGTTGAAAATGGATAAAATAATGTTCAGTCGTTAAAAAATATTGGCGGCTTCGAACAGTATTACCATGAATATTGGATCTAAAGTACATAGGGCATAGGTCTTGCCTCTTTGGTAAACGCCAAATTAGATGCTATGTTTTCTTCCGGCCGGCTCGGGTTCCTGCTCCTATCGATGACGTCACACTAGATGATTGGCTGGACGTATGACGTACGAGTTCTACGACCACGTTCAAAAACATGAATTTAATAACAAAAATAATAGACTCTTTCCAAAACATATGAAAGAACAGAATCGAAAAAGAGATGCAATTTATTTTGGCTGAGTGGTATTGCTATAGGGTGATGACATCATCGGCAGGCGCTGAGCAGATCCGGAAACTACAGCGCCAGAAAACTAGCATCAGCAAAGTATTCTCTTGACAGAATTAACTGAAGGACCATCAAAGTCTGAGAATTTCTTTGCAACAGTGTCAGGCCAGTATGAATACAGAGGAGGTACGACACTGCAGCAGCGGGGGTGCAAATGTGCCTTTGCTTAATGATGAATCAGGCTTGAGAGGTACCCAGTGATGTTGGTATACATTGTGACTGGACTGCACTGCAGCCGAGTCTTGGCCACTCCTCCAGATGGCTCGGCCATTCGTGAGCCGATACGAAACGATGCAGCTCAGAGCCCCTCGCCTCCTTCAAATAAACATTTCCTCCCTTTTTTTCTGGTGAAGGAGGTGAAGAGAAAATACTCCAGCTTCTGCTGTTTCTCTGTCTGCCCCTGTGTGTGTGTGTGTGTGTGTGTGTGTGTGTGTGCGTGCGTGCGTGCGTGTGTGTGCGTGTGTGTGTGTGTGTGCGTGCACACACATGCTTGTTAATGGCTGGATTCTGTGATGGAGAGACTGTGAGAGTTTGCATGCAGGAGTGGGAATGTGGGTGGTGCTGTCAGTCACAGCTGCAGCACCACCCTCTTGGTCCACCAGGCGACACCTCCTTTCCTTCAGACAGGAAGTATGGGTGGAGTAAGACTCTGGCAGGGTGATGACTGACTCTTTAAGTAAAAATATAAAACGGTAAAATTGTTCCAGTTGGGAAACATTCAAATGCATAACATAAAACACACTTTGTTGCTTTAACAGCCTTGTTTTTCTTTCGATTTTTGTAAACACAGATCCACTGGCCCCTCCCATAAAGCAGAAGGCTAAGTTTAAGATCAAGGATGCAAAGTGTCACCTGAGTCCCCGCAACAAGGAGAAGCACAAAGACTTATCCAAGCAGAATATCCAAGGTATACGGTAGAGCATCTCGCATGAAGCAACAAAGTCAAATTAGTCTGTGATGTCACTTATTCTTCTACAACTCCATGGATGTTGCTATTTTTCTACTCTGTAAGGAGGCCAGTTCCCCTGCACAGATGATTGTCAAGTAACATTTGTCAACCTCAAATGTGACTCATCAAAAAAGCGTCGTAGAGGTCGCAAATCTCCATCGAAAGAGGTTTCCCTCATCACGGCCGAGTTTGAAATGGAGATGAAGGAGGATGAAGCATCAGGTGGGATGGTTGTACGAAGGGTCTGAGCTTTATTTAGAAATAAAAATATGAACAGACTAGAATTAGAACAAGTTGGCTATATTTTTATCTCTATCTATTCAATAATTAAAAATCACCTCACTATGTTTTTAGACTCCTGCAACGTCGACTGTGTTCGGAACAAAATGAAGCAGAAGCTGCAGAGTGCCATGCGGACACTCAGGAAGTCCATCAACAAACAACAGTTCTACATCCAGTTTTCTGGAACAGAGTATGAAGTGGCCCAGAAACCTTCCAGGATACCAGAGGGAGTTGAGACCTGCAGTACGGGCCAAGTCTTCCAAGATGGAAAATGCGGTATGTCTGGAATTAATGGGGCTGCCTAGTTTGCCATACTGTGTGAAGCTAGAAGAAGAAATCACTCCTGTGTTTTGTTCCCCAGTGGGCTGTAGTGTAGGCACGTTTTACAGTGGGAAGCAGGAGCAGTGTGTCCAGTGTCCTCCGGGAACATACCAGGACATGGAAGGGCAGCTGTCCTGTGAGCCATGTCCTGGTACTGAAGAACAAGGAATCACTGGTGCCAAGAATGTGTCTCAGTGTGGAGGTAACTCACGAATCCCATTTGATCACATCTGAAAGTTTACTTCTGTGGATATTGAGGTGGGGTTGGAAACCATGGTCCTCTAGTGTCGCTATCTAGCATGTTTCAGTTGTTTCCCTGCTCCAAATTCAGTGGTTGAATCACCTGTTCATCAGCTCATGAAGCTCTGCAGAAGCCTCTTAATCACCTGCTGATTCAAATCAGGTGAGTCAAGGCAGGGAAACAACAACATGCAGGATAGTGACCCTCAGGGTACCTGGATCCCCCACTCCTGATCTTCTCCGATTTCACACTGGAGGTATCAGTGGCGTGGAACAACAGAGCAACACTGCCTCAAATGCAATCCAATAATCAATAAGAATAAATAAAAAAATATATCATTATCGAACATTTCTGACTGTAACCGATATCATTGTTTCCATGTCAATGAACTTGGCATTAACAACTAGAAAGATGGATGTGGGTTGGCGACATTCATGTCACTTTAAGAAGTTGTACCACCTCAAGTCACATGAAGACATGACTCAGCATAATACACGTGACAGCCACATCTAGTGGACAACTTTTGTTTTTGCGCATACATGTAGTTATCGTCCATTTGTCGTTATCAAGGGGAACTCTTTAATGCACTGTAACATTAATTTTAGGCCATATCACCCAGCCCTGCAGTCTATGTGTTGATCCAAACTGACTGCAGCGAGGACATTTTCAGGCGTGTCCCAAAGACAGCACGCCGTGCTGCACCACGCCTCTAAAGATCGGATTAAACTGTATTTTTGCCGCTTTTGGAACACGTCAATTTCCACAATTAACATAGGGCTAGACAGGAAATCACACACTGTTTCAGTGTAAAATGTTTAGTAATTTTCAAAACAAAAGTCTATTGCAGTGATGTGATTTCTTTTCCATGTAGATTATGTCAATACTTGTGACCTAACGGCTTATTTACTCCCAGCATCTTTCAAGAAATGCAATGGTGTGTTTCATGGCTTTAATCCTGACTGTAGAGGGGAACTACATCAGATATGACCTCAACCAATCATATCAAAAGTGATCTTCTTCTTCTTTTGGTTTAATGGCGGACACCATAAACAAACCAAGACCTTTGAAGTTTCGAAGGATTTTATGATCTTGCGAGTCGAGCGAGGAGGACGGGGGAGAAGCTGCTCCATGGCTGAGACTCTTCTTGTGTGGAATGCACGCGAGTAAACCGTTCCTCTGCTGTTCGGCGCCGCTGATGCCTCCAGTGTGAAGTCAGTGTTAGGGTTCAGCTTAAAGAAAGGCTGATCGTACACAGATAATGTTTGAAAAAGTTCACCAATTTTTGGTTTTCTTGTGACAAGATAAGAACCTGAATCTGTATGAGCTCAAAGTTGTTTGGCTGAGAATCAATTTGAGACAAAAATGCATTGTTTATTATTGTGTGTCCCACAGGTCAGTGTCCAGCAGGTCAGTTTTCTGCCGATGGGTTCCGGCCGTGCCAGTCTTGTCCTGTAGGCTCCTACCAGCCAGAACCGGGTCGGGTTATGTGCTTCCCATGCGGGGGAGGCCTCATGACCAAGTATGAAGGTTCTGTTTCCTTCAGGGATTGTGAGGCCAAAGGTTAGGCTGTGTTTGTCTTCACCAGCTCCTATATGGTCTTAATATTTCACCATCTCTCTCCACATATTTTAAAGATGTCATTTTGTTTAGTTCTATATTTTAATATATACTGTGTCTCTCTTTGAAAGTCCACTGTGCTCCAGGACATCACTACAACTCCAGTACCCATCGCTGCATCCGCTGTCCAGCAGGGACATACCAGTCTGAGTTTGGACAAAACTACTGCATCGCCTGCCCTGGAAACACCACAACTGACTTTGATGGTGCCACTAATGTATCCCACTGCAAAAGTAGAGCTTCCTATTTCTATCTAGTATTAATCTTAGCCACCGTGGGGCGGTGTTTTTGGATGGTTGGTTGATGTTATTCAGCATCAAATGAGTTTTAAATGAAAACATTCCTTTTTCCTCAGACCAGCTGTGTGGAGGGGAACTGGGAGACTACACTGGCTACATCGAGTCCCCTAACTACCCAGGAGATTACCCGTCCAACGTGGATTGTGTCTGGACCATAAATCCACCACATAAAAGGCGCATCCTCATTGTTGTGCCTGAGATTTTCCTCCCCATCGAAGATGAATGTGGAGATGTGCTGGTTATGAGAAAGAGTGGTAAAGAGATTTGCTATTTTTTTGAAGAGCTTGTGATTTTATATGAAGAGATTTCCACTCTATGTGTATTTACATATTTTATTCAGCAGGAAAAGCCTGGTATCCAACTTTCCAGTTTCCAATCATCTTTTTTCACATCTGAGCCTGCTCCCAACCTCACACAGAAGCCTTTCTAAAATACTTCCTCCTTAATGCTAAATATTAAACAGGACTGAGTGCATGATTCATGGGCGTGTCCCATAAGAGATCACACTGACTGGGGCCATATTATGCAAAACTCACTTCTTGCATTTTTTGCTGCTATCTGAATCTCTACTGTCTCTATAAACATTTCATAAGTGAAAAAAACAAACATTAATCCATTTTCTGTCAGTGTTTGATTTGGCAATTTGTTCCTAAAATGAGCCATTTAAAAATGTACCAGATTGTGATGTCACAAATGGGAAAATTTGCAGAGGGAACCCCACACACAAACACACATCACCACTATCACCACATGCTGGAAGAGCAGCAACTCTTTACCTCATAACATCCTATCGGGGGGCATGGCCAGCAACAGTTCATTTTCTTAAAGTGACAGAGCCCTGAAATGGCTCATTATGGAAGGTACTGAAACTGTCAAGAATAAAACTGATCAAGTCAGTTGAAGTGAGAGGGCTTTTATGCAAAGAACTTCATAAATATGTTTTTATAGACTATTATGTATATAACTTAAACATTTATCACTTTACCTCACCTTTCTGAAAGAATGGTTGGTCAAACAGATGTGAAATAGATCCAATTTATCTTTGAATTTGTCCTTTTTCTAATATTTTTATTTCCATTCATAGTTTGTTAGCAAATGTTCTAGTTTTGTTTGTTAAAACCCAAGTATAAAATAGTTTCTATGCTAAATGTGCTCCTATATCACATTTTCAGTTTATTTTCAATGTTCCTCTAAGGCAGAGGTCCTCAACTAACTTTGTTAAAGGGCTAGAGTTTTTCCAGCAGAAACCATGAGGGACAGATGCTCTTCTAAAATAAAGTTCAAGTATTGTTGTATCTTATTTTATTAATACTTAAAATGGTTTGCTTTCCATCTAAACTGTTTTGATTGTAGTTTTAGTTGAGTTTGGAGAACGTAAACAGTTATTGATATTTGGGACATTGACTTTGCTGCTGAATTTTAAAGTCCTCCAGGTGGGGGGAGTTATGGCCCAAAGGGTTGGGAGGTTGGGGGGAGAGGTCTGGCGGGCTGGATGTGACCCGCAGGCCGCCTTTTGAGATTCACTGCTCTAAGGTCTCTGATAAAGCTCACCACAGGACCTTTTAGCTTTTTTAGTTTCGCCCGTATTATGGCTCAGACTCAGAATCAACTGAGATCAGTTTTGAAATCTGATGACATTAAATTGAAAGGAAAGTGCTGCTTTTCTACTTCCTGTTTCGTTTTTCACACGTGATAGCCGTGCAATAAAGAATCCAGCGCATCCACGTGTGACAGGGACGTAAAACACCATAACACCTTTGTCCTGTTCCTCCAGCGCTGCCCACCTCCATCACGACCTATGAGACATGTCAGACCTATGAGCGGCCCATCGCCTTCACCTCCCGCTCACGAAAGCTTTGGATTCAGTTTAAGTCCAATGAGGGGAACAGTGGGAAAGGCTTTCAGGTTCCATATGTCACCTATGACGGTGAGTTTGTTTCTGTTTCCACACAACCTTCGTTGTGTGAAGTAGATGCCATCCCTCCTTCTCCCTTTTGTGTTTTAGAGGACTACCAGCAGCTGATAGAGGATATAGTCCGTGATGGAAGGCTTTACGCATCTGAAAACCACCAAGAGATACTTAAGGTATTAAGTGAAGCTTTGCAATGCCTGCATTTGTCTTCATGCGGAGCTAAAAACGTAAATACAACAAAAAATGTTCTTTCCTTCATAATAGATACTGAGATGCGATGTTGTTTTGTCCTTCTGCAGGACAAGAAGTTAATAAAGGCTCTCTTTGACGTACTTGCTCACCCCCAGAACTACTTCAAGTACACATCAGCAGAGTCCAGAGAGATGTTCCCTCGCTCCTTCATCAAACTTCTGCGCTCCAAAGTGACTAGGTTCCTTCGACCATACAAATAGAAGGGGAATGTGCACTTTTTTCTTTTTATTAAAGGTCGTCTCATCCTGCATCATTTAAAATTCAGCAACTGACACATAAGTCCCTGAACAACTTCTGCCCCTCTACAGAAATCCAACCGTTTGTGGCCAAAAACCTCGCCCTCGGTCTTTCTTGTCACACGATGCCTTTCAGTGTCCCTCACCCTCTCAGCATGAATGCACAATTAAACAGCTTCCCGCCAGTCAACTCCACGGTTTGACAAATACAGGTGTCTGAAAGCCAGCATCCACATGTTTCAGTATAGAACAAATTCACTTAGTATTTGATTTTTAATATATTTTTCTTAACTTTGATCATATAGAAGCATATAGAATTTTAAATAATGCACTATAGATTAAAAGCACAGTACTAATGATCCTAATGAAGCTCTGGTTTGTAAATGTTAGGGCACAACTTGGTGTCCTCTGAATCCAGAATGATCTAAACTCCCTATCTCTGAGCAGTTTTGGGTGTAGGATGCCTGTAAGTAATTAATTTACAGTTTTATTTTAAATCAAGCCATAAGAATTTCACGCAAACAATGAGCCTGCTTAGAAAAAAAAACATTTGAAAATAGGCTGGCAGGTCTTTATCTTCTCCTGACACGACTGGAAGACTGGAAAGAAGGCAAAACAGCTGCAGAATAATTAGTACGTTCTTTTCAAAGCTGAATAATGTGAAACAGAAAGTTTTTAAATAGGGTTTCCACGAATCACTTAGATATTTTTCAGACTTGAGTTGTTATAAGAGTTATAAAAGAGCACGTTCTCTGCAGAATTCCAGCTTCTGTGGAAAAAGTGTTTTGTTGTTGCTCTGTGTAAAAATCATAAAAAAGAAACAAAGCAACAAGGGTTCATTCTTGTGCCTGTTTATAGTATGCTGCCTAAATACACATGTCATAATAACGCTTTCATTTAATGTCCTTAATTTGAGCATTATTGCCACCTAGTGGCTCCTTAATGTCAAAAACTTGCTTCATCATCTGGATTGCGATGTTTTCCTCTTGATTTAAAATGGATAATTTGTATTTCATAGAATGATTCATGTTGATAGGACTCAACAGGTAAAATCAAGAAAGACGTTTGATAAAGTAAAATCTGAGATCTAAACAAGAGACTAGAAAGGCCTACAACTGTACCTGGACACGGGCCTAGCAACAGATGGGACCAGGTGAGGTAATGAGAAGATGAGTGGCAGTTTAGTGGCAGGCAAACAAGAGCTGAGGGGACACATAGACCACCAAACAACTAACCCCATGGCTGGAGCCAGGTTTTCTGGTTGGCCCGCTTTGTTGAGCTGAAAGCTTTCAGGATCATGGAGGATGGGAGGATGTGAGTGTGGACAGATCACCATGGTAACAGATAACTGGTACAGTGATTCTGTTCTTAATGAAACCCATCCTTCTGTTAACTTTAACAGCTAATCAGTAGGGTCATAAGGGGCGGGGGTGGGGGTGGGGTGGGGGGTTAACTCCTGCTGCAGCTATAGCAGGAGAGGCCTGGACAGGTCGCCTGTCCATCATAGGGACACAGAGACAAACAACCAGTCACACCCTCACTCAGACTGTCCCACATCAGCCTGACATGCATTGGGAGGAAACCGTAACACCCAAAGAAGACCCACACGTGCATGGGGAGAACATGCTAGCTCCCGACAGATGGGTCATAAGTAGGATAAATTATGTCTACCACTTCTTCTGAAGTACTTCATACACCTTTAATTTGAGCTTGGCTGTTTTCACCCATTTTTTATGGTCTGTGTGCTTTTAGACCTTAACCCCAAAAGCCCTCTTATAACTTTTGATTAAGAAATAGTTTCTGCAGTGTTTCGTTACAAAGTTTTCAGGTTGGGAGCCATCTTTAGCATGTTAGATATGACAGTTTTTTGGATTAATCTTTGTCGCAAAAACACATTTCATAAAATATGTGAAAAGTTTATTTTGTTTATTTTGAACTTCAAGTTTGTCAGAAAGGAGCATCAATAAACATCAGTTATAAATAAAATGTAGGCTGGAGAAAAATAAACAAGGAAGTCATGTTGAGATTAAACTGGAAACATCCAGATAAGAGTTAACATGTTTAGACAAAAAAGTTTTGTTTTTATTACTGTTGTAACCAAGAAATATGGATAATTTTGCTCAGTAAACTATAAAAAAAAGATGCAATTTTCAATATGAGGTTCATTTTGTTGCCTGCTTCCTTCAATCCTTCACAATAAGAGTCTCAAACATGCCCACATGCTACAAAAGTGCTCGAGTATTGTTGGGCAATCTAATTAAACAAGCTACTTGCATTAGCTTCAGATGATTGAGACTTTTATTGTGAAGGATTTAAAGGCATTCTTAGAGGTCTGCCTATTTTTTTTTATAGTTTAGTCAGTAAAATACACCAAAAACCTTCTGTTACAATACTTCCTCCATTCTTCACAAACTACTTAATACTTTTCCCCTCAACATTCCAACTTTTATCTTGACATCAACTCTTTTTATTTTGAAATTTCATCAACTAGACACCAAACCTCTTTGATAGAAACTCTATCAGCAGGCCACCATCGGCAAACCAGAATCAGTCGGACCTGTTTGTGCTGTGCTCCACGTGTGTTCTCCTTTTCCTTACTCCTACTCTCTACCTCCTAAATGTTTAACCTCTTTGGGCCCGTTTGTTTTTGCTCTGCTCCACGTCTCGCTCCTTCCTGTCATTTACATCAAGCTAGTCAGAACTCGCAGAGCTCTATGTTGCTTTACGTTTTTGTCATGATGTATGGACCAAGCCTGATGAGAAACGAACCCACAGAAAACATGCTTGTCTCCTAAACTGTGTTTGGTTTTTATGTGGCCTGATGTGCACAAGTCAGATGAAAACACAACTAGTGCACTTAAAACACACCATTTACACAGAAAAGTCATTGAAATCTAAACACACAGATGTTCACTCCTGAGTGTGTGCTTCACCAGCCCAAAGAGAGATGACCTGGGCTAAATCACAAAGTCCAGATTATACTTTCGAATAAAATTATAAGATGAGATTAACTACCTACAAGTAACAAATGGTTACTTTAGAACAAAATATTATGTGATTTAATTAATATTTGGAACTTTAATTGCACTTGAATGTTATGGTTTGAATTGTGGGGGGGGGGGGGGATTCTTCGTTTTGTTACCTATGTTGTGTTGTTTTGAAATGTGTCACAAGTGGTGGTGATATGAAAGAAGGATAGCTGTGTCTCTTGTTATTTTACTTCCTTTCTTTAGCCAACAGCAACCAGAGAAAACCCGTTAAACTGAAGCTCGCTGTGCTTCTAGGATCATTTTATCTGTAGAACAATCTCCAGCTGCCAGAGAGAAGAAGCTCCTCCCATTATGGCTTCTAGTATGAAGGCGTTACGCACATATCATCCCGATTTCTCCAAAACCTTTGCAATTAACCCAGATTTGTAATGAGTGGGCTCTGCTTCTCTTAAATTGACTAAATCTCAGTGTCTATTCCACTGCTACTATGTCTATGAAATCCAGTCCATATCGTGTATCACAAGTCTACGTCTGCACCACATGACTGGATATGAAAACATGTGTGCTGCTTGTAAACCACCAAACTTCTGTCTTTCTTGTTTTGAGTTTTTTCAGAATGCATGTGTAGTATCTCCTGTTTTCTGTCATGTTTCTTTAAAATCAGATCTGCTGTCACTCATCACTGATAGAAAGTTTAAGCCGCAGTGTGTTTAAATTCACCCAACAATGGGACCTAATCCAGAGTTTTGCATGTTTCTGCAGAAATAATGCTGAGAAATATCCAGCTGCGTTTGGTTTGAGCTTATGGGGCCACCACCGTTCCAGATGTCTGGGAATCTATTCTGATGTCAAAAAAAAGCAGAAAAATATTTTTGTGTAAAAGTGTTTATAAAGCACAGGTTTTTTTATATTTCCTACCTTTCAGGGAGCCATCTATGCCTTGGTTTTAAATTTTCAGAATGTTTTTTAAATGCCTGATATTAAACTGATTCATCTTGGAATTTTTATATTTTTTATTTTATTCCTTTAACTGTCAATATTAGTAGGATTTTGCTACAGTCCCACAAAATCTTGTTGTGCATTCAGTGCATACAATTACGTACACATTTACATGTAAATTGAATCGATAATTTGTCCTAATAAAACAAAAAGAAACTACCGGTATTCTGAAAAACAGAAACTGTGCCTGGTTGAAAAAAGTGTCTTCTGTAATGAAACTTTATTTTTATAGCAAAGACACTCGATTTGACAGATTTTGTCAAACAGGGATGGTTTATTTTACAAAGTCTCAGAAGCAGTCTTCAGTCTGATGAGACGTCACTAAAGCCTGATCATTTTTTAGTTTTTAATCTGGACATTCATTATGTTTTGCAGAGTTGAAGCATTTTAGTCCTACAATTAACATTTTAATTTCTAGAGCTCCAAAACCTGGACGTAAAAACCAGAGATGATGGCCGCTTCAGGGCTCTGCTGGTTTTTGTACACAGAGTCCTGAACTGAAGCAGATGACTCATGGGTAGGAAATCAATCTAAAACCTTCTGCTTTGGAAAACAGTCTGTGGTCTTGTGAAATATTTAGTTAATGGCTTGAAAAACCCGAAACCACAAGTACGGTGCATAACACTGAAGTTGGACTTCTGTTTTTTGTTTTGGCTTTAAATATCAAATTAGACAGTTTAGGGAAACAAACACGATCAGAGGAGAAACTAATGACTTTGTGTTATTGTTTGTTTCTACTTGTGGCCAAATATGTCCACACATTCTGTGGCCTGCTTCCTGTCTGAATGTGAGCACCCGTTAAAACAAGTATTATTAAAAGAGAGAGAGAGGAAATGTAAAATTGTTGTCCCTGAGAATGTATTCTATTGGGTGTGTGACTGTAGGATGGATGAGAACCTTGCAGGAGTGTGTGATCGTGTGTGTTGGGTGCCTGCAGAGAAGACAGCTGTGTGCGTGTACTTTAAACCCTTTTTAGAGAAATAATTCAGACTTTTGAGCAAGTTGCTTGTACACAAAGAGAGAAACTGTAACATGGTGGCATGCCATTGTTTGGTCCATGAAACTCCAGTACTGAACAAAACAAATAAACAGTAGCAGAAAAAAAATGCCTCTTCTGTGACTTCATGTGACATCTTTGAAAACAGAATTCTGAAATAACTACTTATGTTCAGAAGAAACAATTTGAATATAAAGCCTCTCGAGATAAAAATCACCAGGCGCTTCACAAGAACTGAACAAAAAAATAAATGGATTTTAAAAATATCATAAAAATGGAAAAATTTGAAATTTTTTTACTGAAAAATGAGAAGTAGGACAAACATGAATAAGGAAAAGGTAATAAAGGATCCCGAGAAGGCAGAATTGGTAGAGAGAAGCTAGTGAGAAAGAATCAACCAAAGGTCACGTAAAAACCAGCCTGAACAGGTGAGTCTTCAGCTGCTTTTTAAAGGAGACCACTGAGTCCACTGATCTCAGGCTCAGGGGGAGAGAGTTCCAGAGTCTGGGGTCCACAGCAGCAAATGATCTGTCACCTTTGGTCTTTAGCCTGGTGCTGCACAACCAGTAGGCTTTGATTACTGGACCTCAGGGACCTGCTGGGGGTGTAGGGACTAAGAAGATCACCAATGTAAGATGGTGCTTGTCCATGTAAGGCCCTATAGACCAGAACCAGGATCTTGAAATGAACCCTGAAGTTGACTGGCAGCCAGTGAAGCTGGAGGAGAAGCGGGGTGATGTGGGTGTGTTTGGAGGAGTTGGTCAGAAGCCGAGCACAGGCATTCTGAACCACCTGTAGACGGTTCAGGGAGGTTCTGCTCAGACACGTGAAAAGAGAGTTACAGTAGTCTAAGCGTGAGGAGATGAAGGTGTGGAGAACTGTCTCAAGTTCAGAGCGGGACAGAATGGGACTCAACTTAGCAATGTTCCTGAGATGGAAGAAGGAAGAGCGAACAAGAGAACTGACATGAGAATCCAGGGTGAGAGCTGGGTCAAAGGTCACACCAAGATTCCTGACCGAAGGTTTGGTGTGACAGGTGTTACATCCCCCTCTGGAATCTAGGAGGTTCTGAGAGGGATGTCCAATCTTTAGACTTTGTGATGTTGACAATGACTGGAGTTTGCGAATTGTATGGTTTTGGAGTGCCACCGGGGTAACTACACCACAACCCGAAAATGTTTACACAAATGTCCTAACTGGACTTATTTTTCTTCTATAAAACTTAAATTACCAACACAGGGTCACAACCTAGGAGAGGAATCTATATTACAGAGAAGTTCAGCTCTGGTTAACTTACCCAAGTTCAAGTCTAATAAAGGCTAAGTTAAAGGTGTGAAAAACAGAGGCCTTCAACGAAAAGGCTCTGGCCTTAACCAAAAGGGCCTAACTCAAAGTGACTCTTTCTAAAAAGAGTAAACAACTATAAAACACAACAACCAAAGGAAATGCTCTCCAAAATAGAGCTAACGGGTAGTTGTGCTTGAACCCATACAACCAAAAGACGACGCTCTGTCTGAAAGTAAAAACTAAAAGGCCCTACTATAGGCTTCTAACTTAGTTCTCAATCGCTCAAAGGTCAAGAGCTAATTAATCAAATTCTCGAGTTATGTAAAAGAGACAAAATGAAGGCTATAGTTCAACGAAGTCTCCTAAAATGCCAAAGAGACTCAACAAAAACAGCTAAGTTTACTAAAGTCTCCAAATACTCAAAAGGGGACTAATCCAACCCCTGAGCTCTCAACCAACTCTTCTACTTCCTCTTCTTGTACTCTCTCTACCACCTCCTCTGTATTTCACCCCCTGAATGAGAGTGCAGCAGCTTAATTAGCAGCTGCGGCTGATTAGCTGGATGGGGAGCAGCTGGGTGGAGCCTTCCGCAGGCTTCACTGCATGGAGCTGAACCTGACAGGAAAAAATAACTGCAAAACAACAGAGCTGAACAGCAGCTATATGGTGAGATAGGCAGGAAGGTGCACAGGTGGGCCCCGCAGTGGACTGAGGCTCAGTTGCCGTCCCACTCTGTTGTGTGCTCGGATTATGCGGTCGCTCTTTTGGCGATGAAGGGGCAGTGTTCCCGGTCTAGGCCTGACCTGCTGGCGGTGATACGGATGCAGCTGCACAGGTTGGTGGTTTTGGGGTGTATGGTGAGCTTTGTATGGGTACATGCTCATGTAGGGGTGGTGGGCAACGCGGAGGCGGACGCTGCTGCGAAGGGTGCGCTGCGGCATCAGAACACGGACCTGTGGGTGGGGTCGGGTCCAGGGGCGGATTTAGCAATTTGGGGGCCCAAGGCAAACACAGACATGGGGCCCCTTACACTAAATTTTCGACAATCTTATCTTTAACTGGATTTGCGAAACTCTCCCCTCTTCTTACATGAGTTATTTTCACTTTTTATTAGTCCTCCTCTTTTTTTCTCTCCCTTTGAGTTCCTTCAATATTTGCTCTGCTTTCTTCTTCCTGTCAGTGCTCCTGTGCTTTAGCCTTAGTTATTTTTTTTTTTCTATTTTCCATTTTGGTCTATGTTTTCCTCCCTTTAAACATTTTCCATTGTCTTTCCTTTTCTGCTTCCTTTTGATGTTTATATCGAAAAACGACGTCACTTTCAGAAGTGAAGATAAAAGCTTTTATGAAGCAAGCTGCTTCTTTCTCTTATTGGAGCCACTAGGATAACTTCATGTCATGCTTAATGTTTTGACTATCGCTTTGAGTTTGTTACGAATGCTCCCGCCTCTCTTCTTATTCTTATTTGTGGTCTTATGGCACTTGGCAAACAACCATTTGGTGCATTACCGCCACCAACTGGATTGGAGTGGAATGACTACCAATCACTTCCTGTTTGTGCATCACAGTCTTAATAACCCTCTTATGACCATAATTATAACAGGGCCGCCTGGTATTTTTTTTTAATCTTATGGCTGTAAAATTGTAATAAAAAGCACAAAGTATGTGTAACTCTTTCAGAGCACCCTCAGCTTTCAGTGTATGGTTTGTATTTAGAATTTATTTCTATTAAAGCCTTTAAAAAATCAGCTTAAAAGTGAAAAAAGCAAAAAACGGATTTGAATTTTTTACATTTATTACTGAACAGGAACTTCAAAAGTACTGGGCAAACAATTTAAACTATGAACTGAAATGCATCTATTCTTAAAAAAGTGTGAACCTTGGTGTCTTTTTTAGCAGTTTTTAAGACTTTATTTTTGTAAACTTTCAGACGTTTTTATTTGATGTGGTAGACCTTGAAGCAGCTTCTCTCCAGCTGCAGGCAGAGTCCTGCACACCTCACACTGCCATGGGGTGCTTCTCTTGCACACCGTGCACTGCTATACCAAAAACTTTTGTTTTAGCAAAAATAATTATTTATGGTAAAAAGATAAATAATGCTGGAATGAAGCTGAATCTTACAATTAGCAAATAGTTGAGGGTTTTTCAAATAAAAAAAGAAAGACTGAACAAACGTTCATACCCTGGTTCACTGGAGATCTGTCCTTCGTGGCCACTTACTTCAGATATAAGCCTTCTGGGACACCTAATAGATCGTGTTGATTTCCATATTTTCATGCTGGTTTTTATGCTGATTAGCTTCCCTGTTCCGTTATCCGCTTTCACCACGGTGCTGCGCTCCTTTTCAATCAGGCTGTACAGCAAGATTTCCTCTCATAGCGATATTTTGCATAACTCTGATTGCTTCATGCTATAGATCGTTGGAAAGCTGCTTTTATGTACTTTTAGCAACCATTGGAACTATTTGAATCTGATCGGCCATTCAAAAGTTATAAAACGCAACATTTTGGATGACAAACTCAGCACGTCTCTGAATCTGCGTTGTGATTCGTTGCGCTCAAGACAGGGAATCCCGGTGGCTACCGTAATGTATTGTATATGCGTGAAAAGCCCCATTTGTAATCTTTTCAGCACTTTTGGAATTTTAATGATATCTTGAATGGTTCAGGAATTATGGTAATGAGAAGTGCACATGTCCAATCCTGTCTGCGGCCACAGGTTGGTAATAAGAATATTGTGGCATTAACAGAGGGGTGCCGACGGTCAGGGCTAGGGGGCCCCCCAACACAAGGGGGCCCCAGGCGGCCGCCTACCTATGCCTAATGGTAAAACCGCCTCTGGTCGGGTCTACCGGAGTCTCACTCTGAGATTGGTCGAGTGGCTTTAAACATGTGAAAGGCCTCCTGTGATGTGGGGATGGATGGGCGGACGTCTTACTGGCTACGACGTCGTGTAGGTGCCCGTGGGCCGGCCCTTGAGTGCGGGAGGAGGGATTCTGTGGTTTTGACACACTTAAGGTTGGGACATAGCTGCCTTACGGGAGGTTTGTTTTTGGTGGGTCGACATCCGGATGGTTGTTGTGCTTGAGGGAAACGGTTGCTCATGTCCTTCTGCACTGTCGTCTGTACGTGGTTGAGCGGCGGGCCCTGTTTGGTTTCCTGGGAACTGTTGGTGTGACTGTGTTTGGTCTGCGTACTTTGTTGGGGTTGGAAGATCGACATGTAGAGGGGGCGCTTTCGGCTTTTCTTCGAAAGGTTTGCGTGTACGGGAGGTTGTGAATCTTGGGCTATTGGCCATCATTGCTGGGGCAGCAATACACCTTGAAGGCGTCTAGCCTGCCGTGTCTCCCATAGAAGAAGAAGAAGAAGAAGAAGAAGAAGAAGAAGAGGAAGAAGATGCACATGTTTTCCACTGGGGCTGTAACACAGGAAAGCTGACCAAGAGAGTCTCTGACTTTGGGAACCAGCTTGTCTGGGGCACAGATGAGGATCTCAGTCTTATCTTCATTCAGCTGTAGAAAGCTCCCAGCCATCCAGGTTTTGATAAAGT